CATAATGATGGCTTCAAAAAACCACAAAAAAAAAAGGTACTTCTCATGATTCACCTCATTTTGGTACATCTTTTTTTTTCTGTCTCTTCAGTGTTGCCAGGATAGAAAAAATAGGTATCCTACATTTTATTTATGCCAATATGCATCTCTTTGATACCAAGTAGCTCAAACATTTTTTGAGCCCTGATTACATCATATACTTCTTTAAACCCTATGTCCATCATTCCAGTGTTACATTGACTCTTTCTGTTGCTTTTAATCACTCTTCTCATGACATTATAATTTTAACCCACATCAAACAAATACCTTACAAACCATTCTGCAATGAATATTAACACGGAGCACAAGCTGGAATATTTGAAGAGTCTTATGCACTAAAAAAAACAATCATAACATGAAATGTGGTTACTTTCAATATTTATAAAAGTATACACACACACACACACATGCTTAAATCACCACTGATCACTGGCAACACTAGAGCTAACAGACTGAAATGGTTGGGGCATATTGAGAGAATGTCAGATGACAGAGAAGTAAAATCGGTATACACAAGGGAGATGAATGGTCGTAGACTACAAGGCAGACAAAGAAGACGATGGACAGATAATGACCAGGCAGACCTGCAAACACTTGGTGTCACAAACTGGAAAGAGAAGGACAACCAGAGAGATGAATGGAGATGGGTGATATCTGCAGCAATGAACCTCAAGGGCTCAGAATACTAAAGAAGAAGAAGAATAGACATACACATATGCTCTCATAAGTACACACATACTAAATAATTTTTTTCTAGTACATTTTTAGTGTACTTAAAAAAAAAAAAGCCAGCAGGCATAAAAAAATTATTCCTCACCACGGCTCTCAAAGGCAGAAATGGTTTATGATGATAATAACTTATAAAAAATGCTTAACTAAATGTAAAATAATCTGGGCAAGAAGGGAACGAAGGACCTTTTCCATGCCATTTGGCGTACTGAGCATATAGTGTTGACATATATTTTATAGACCAATCGGCACTCACTAGGTGATGTGGTAAAGAACTAGTAAAGTCATTTTCTTCCTTCTCTTCAGGTGATGGTACAGCAGTAACAATGATGGCAAAAAAAAAAAAAAAAACCCCAAAAAACCTGCCATCTAACAATGTAATCACATTTATGTTACATAAATTATTACTACTTGCTGTGCCGCTGTCCAAGCTTTCAATTTCATCTTCATCTTTCTTTCTCCTCTTGGATAGTATTTTAAAACTCTTTAAATGCCATTTTTTTAAGACTAAACATAAGTTCAGCAAAGAAGCTAAGAAGAAAACATGCACTGACACTTGAAATGTGGTTTCGATTTAAAATGCAGAGACAACAATGAACACAGAGATAAATAAAGTAATTATTTTGGGAAATAATTTTAACCTAAAATTTATGTGAGAAAATATGTTAAGGTATTTTGGAATTCCAGGGAAATTTCCCTGGAGTTCCTTGTATTAGCCTGACTGCAGTCACCCCCATATTTTCACCAAGGTATTTTAGGCATGTTTTTATGAGAGACAGATGTCTGGTAGTCTGGTAGTCTGGTAGTCTTAGTTTCAGCTTCATAGCAAACGGGTCGCCCCATCTTTGCTCTGCTCCTGTGCCAGCGAAAAACACCCAGAATGTTTATCACAGTCCCTTGTGGAAAGATTGACAGACTGCTGTCTCAGCATATCTAGCATACACTTGCATTAAAGCATATGGTAGCCATCCGAAGTGCTAACACAAACAGTCCAACATTAGAAATGCAGTTCATCATTGATGATAGCAGAACTTGTCGCCAACAGATCAGCAGTTTCCCACGCGATCAATTGTAATCACACACGGGCACCGCCAACATTGACGACCGGCATCGCGCCATTTTCTGAATCTACAATTCACACCACGTTGGTCACAGTCGAAAAAACATTCCAAATGCAATCCGCAGCTCACAGGGTCACGCCATGCATTCAACTCAGAAGCTGGGCGACGAAACTATATCCAGTCTACAAATGGAGCAAAAATACTTCGGCCACCGTCCGGCAGAAGCAAAAAATTTGCCTCCGCTCCGACACAGCGCCGCTGTCTAGCGTCCATTTTAACCGGAAGTTTTTCGAGATTGAAGTTTTTCAGATGTGAAACCCTGATTGTAACAATGCTTTTCTGCATAACATAATGATAACGGAATAGTCTGAAAATATAATAATTTGTGCTGATGCGTTAATGTGGACACAAAAGATACAAAAAAAAAAAAAAAAAACGATTTTTGATTGATTCTGATAAAAACAAAGTTAAAGTTTAATGCCCTTAGAAAATACACATTTCATGGAACTGGCAACTTGTAATAAAGAACAGATCCACTGACCCCCCAAATAAGCATATCGTAGGACATGACTAATTAGGGGTGTTTCCTTCAATGTCGGAATGTTTCTGCCTGAGAAGCAAGGAACCAACAGTCTGCATACTGTAAAATGGTAGAACTCAATGCAAAACTCAAGTTCTGGATTAAGACAAAAGTCCAGGAGTGGACAAACAACTAGAACTTTCCATTGGAGTTTACAGCCTGTGAACGTTAAGAAGAAGGGAGACATATCACATCACAATACCTGGTGTCACATCTGTCAAACAACCCATCAGCTAGGAACTGGATACTTATCCTTATCAAAAATTCTATATATAAAACCAACTGAATCTGCAAGCCAACTTAGAACCTTCCATCTAGTCATAATATATTACTGTTAAACTAACAGTTAATTTATACAAAGATAAATAACAGATTTCCTAATCGTTATTGACAGGTTGACAATTTTTTTTTCATCAATTATATATAAAAATTACCAAAAAAATATTATCTGCCGGTGGGTTAGGGGTTATGCATACAGGCTCATAATTCTGACACACCAGGATTCAAATTATCTGCAGGCAAACTGTCAGCAAACAACTTTGCATCGATTTCTACAATAATATGAACACTGAACTGTTCAGAAATCAAACTGTCTAGTGAAACACAAACCACTAACAAATGCTGGGCTTGGTCTGGGTGTCCTGTATAGGGTATGCTACTGTTATGTCTGTACAGGATATGCTACTGTTATTTCTGTACAGGATATGCTACTGTCATTTCTGTACAGGATATGCTACTGTCATTTCTGTACAGGATATGCTACTGTCATTTCTGTACAGGACATGCTACTGTTATTTCTGTACAGGACATGCTACTGTTATTTCTGTACAGGACATGCTACTGTTATTTCTGTACAGGATATGCTACTGTTATTTCTGTACAGGACATGCTACTGTTATTTCTGTACAGAATATGCTACTGTTATTTCTGTACAGGATATGCTACTGTCATTTCTGTACAGAATATGCTACTGTCATTTCTGTACAGGATATGCTACTGTCATTTCTGTACAGGACATGCTACTGTCATTTCTGTACAGGACATGCTACTGTTATTTCTGTACAGGATATGCTACTGTTATTTCTGTACAGGATATGCTACTGTTATTTCTGTACAGGACATGCTACTGTTATTTCTGTACAGAATATGCTACTGTTATTTCTGTACAGGATATGCTACTGTTATTTCTGTACAGAATATGCTACTGTTATTTCTGTACAGGATATGCTACTGTCATTTCTGTACAGGATATGCTACTGTCATTTCTGTACAGGACATGCTACTGTTATTTCTGTACAGGACATGCTACTGTTATTTCTGTACAGGATATGCTACTGTTATTTCTGTACAGGATATGCTACTGTTATTTCTGTACAGGACATGCTACTGTTATTTCTGTACAGAATATGCTACTGTTATTTCTGTACAGGATATGCTACTGTTATTTCTGTACAGAATATGCTACTGTTATTTCTGTACAGGATATGCTACTGTTATTTCTGTACAGGATATGCTACTGTTATTTCTGTACAGGATAGGCTACTGTTATTTCTGTACAGAATATGCTACTGTTATTTCTGTACAGGATATGCTACTGTTATTTCTGTACAGGATATGCTACTGTTATTTCTGTACAGGATATGCTACTGTTATTTCTGTACAGGATATGCTACTATCAGAAGAAGAAGAAGAATGAAATTCTAATATTAGCACATTTCTTTAAGGTAGGTATTACTACTTCAAATACATAAGTTCAAACACTGTTTAAACTTGCATTAGGCTTTTATATTATCATCTGTAAAAAAAAAAATTAGCCTTTATGCCACATCTGTAACATAGTTTTTAGTTTTTGTATACGAACAGGCTGTAATTAATTCAGTACCAACCAACTCACTGTGAGTTTATTCATTTGTACTCAAATGATATACTTTTCTTAACTTGTTTTCTTCCACCCTGGTTGTCCATTGATTTGGACTTTGGCTTTGTGCCAAGACCTGAATTTTGCATGTAAATCCAATGTATTAACCTACACAAAAGTTTTTCTCTAAACGAAGTTACCAATAAACTGGATGGGAGTGAAGCTTTAAAATAAATGCACTCTCCATGCCTAAAACAACATAAAGCACAAATGCTGTAGCTTCTGCAACAAAATCCTCCAGGAGGTATGTAATAACTGCACTCATGAACTAAATAAATGGCATTGGCTGTGAGATGAACCTATAACCTTCACAGCCCAATGCAAACGCTTAACCATGGAAACCCTAATGTTAGGTTAACAAAATTATACACTTCAGGTGGCATTCTGCAACTAAGGCTTGCACTGCTGATTGGTAGTCTGAGAAAATAACAATGTTCTGAGGTGGTATGATGTCACTTTCAAATATAAACTTATTCAGCATCACATCTTTTCTAATACTTTTTTCTGCTACATAAGTGGAGCAGATTTCTTCACAGAAGCAAGAGACAAATGGTTGGTCTTCTTGATTTAGGCTCTATCATAGCTAGAAAAACTTTGTTTCCCAATCCAATCCACAGAGGTTTCTTAATTAATTTTCAGTGGCTTTTGACATGATATCATTCTTGTTAGTGAATTACTCAGATTTATCATCTGTTGCAAGAGGTGGCACTGTGACAGTGTGGTACTGAATGCTTCTGACATGAACTAGCCATAGTCTGTGGTATATGCTGGTTAGAAAGATAACATAAATTGGTATTAATTCAAAGTCATATTTCACTGAAGACATAATCATAATAATACATGTTAAAAAGCATATCTACATTTTAAAAAATTGTGAAAAAAGTAATAACTGATATTACCACTTTCTCCCCGTGTGGGTTCTGGGGGCCTGTTATAAGGAAAACAAGAATAGACCCACTGCCTACCCAAAAGCATGTCGTAAAAGTAGACTAATTGGGAGCTTCCTTCAAAGTCAGAGTGCATCTGCCTGAAAGGCAAGGAACCAACAGTCTGCATACAAATTAGTCAGATCTGTCAAACGGATGCACACGCAACACTCAAGTTCTGGAACAGGACTGCAGTCCAGAAGTGGACAAACAACCAGAACTTTCCGTCAGAGTTTACAGCTGGTGAACACGAAGAAGAAGAAGAAGAAGAAGAATATTATCACTTTCAGTTCAGACAGAAACCCATGTAGGTTCTGGGGCCCCATTGTAGGGAATATATGAAGCCCAGTGGTGGATGAACATCAATGAGTTTTTGCCAGAGTTTACAGCCTGTGAACGTGATGAAATAGTCCAGACAGTTACTGCTTCAGCACTTTCTATCCCAGATTAGGGGTGTCCGTGGTGAAGTCGTCAAGCAGTCTGCCTCGTGCTCTGAAAGTCATGGGTTCATTCCACGGCTGCGCCATTCAGTTCACGAGTGCAATTTTTAATGGAGATCCCTGGGGATCATCGCTGGAGCTACAGAGTTCCTGCTCTGCGTGGCGCTCTTTTTAAGCGACTAGCTGTTCTGCAGAGAGAGAGAGAGAGAGACCGAGCCATATGGCATAAAACCTGGTGCAAAGAAGTCGATCCTCTTGACTTTAACCTTTAATCTTAACCTATCCCAGATTGTGTATTTCTTTAGAGTTACAATCTACAAGTTCTAGTTAGTAAAATAATATAACTAAAGATTTCCAATTCTGACATTTGTTACTGTTTTGTTTAATTCACTATTTGGCTTCATGGATTGTTGCTGGACTCCTTGAATTATTTAAAAAACCATAGTCATCATCATTTGGCCAGAGGCTCCAGTCTAATGTACTGAAGATCAGAGGTTAGTGAAATCAACCTGTTGTCAAGTGTAGAAACTGGAAGATATAACCACATCACAATAACTATCATGTCAAACATTGTGTCAGCTAGGAAGTATTTGTCAAGTGTAGAAACTGGAAGATATAACCACATCACAATAACTATCATGTCAAACATTGTGTCAGCTAGGAAGTATTTGTCAAGTGTAGAAACTGGAAGACATAACCACATCACAATAACTATCATGACAAACATTGTGTCAGCTAGGAAGTATTTTTCAAGTGTAAAAACTGGAAGATATAACCACATCACAATAACTATCATGACAAACATTGTGTCAGCTAGGAAGTATTTTTCAAGTGTAAAAACTGGAAGATATAACCACATCACAATAACTATCATGTCAAACATTGTGTCAGCTAGGAAGTATTTTTCAAGTGTAAAAACTGGAAGATATAACCACATCACAATAACTATCATGACAAACATTGTGTCAGCTAGGAAGTATTTTTCAAGTGTAAAAACTGGAAGATATAACCACATCACAATAACTATCATGTCAAACATTGTGTCAGCTAGGAAGTATTTTTCAAGTGTAAAAACTGGAAGATATAACCACATCACAATAACTATCATGACAAACATTGTGTCAGCTAGGAAGTATTTGTCAAGTGTAGAAACTGGAAGACATAACCACATCACAATAACTATCATGTCAAACATTGTGTCAGCTAGGAAGTATTTGTCAAGTGTAAAAACTGGAAGATATAACCACATCACAATAACTATCATGACAAACATTGTGTCAGCTAGGAAGTATTTTTCAAGTGTAAAAACTGGAAGATATAACCACATCACAATAACTATCATGTCAAACATTGTGTCAGCTAGGAAGTATTTTTCAAGTGTAAAAAAACTGGAAGATATAACCACATCACAATAACTATCATGACAAACATTGTGTCAGCTAGGAAGTATTTTTCAAGTGTAAAAACTGGAAGATATAACCACATCACAATAACTATCATGTCAAACATTGTGTCAGCTAGGAAGTATTTTTCAAGTGTAAAAACTGGAAGATATAACCACATCACAATAACTATCATGACAAACATTGTGTCAGCTAGGAAGTATTTGTCAAGTGTAGAAACTGGAAGACATAACCACATCACAATAACTATCATGACAAACATTGTGTCAGCTAGGAAGTATTTTTCAAGTGTAAAAACTGGAAGATATAACCACATCACAATAACTATCATGTCAAACATTGTGTCAGCTAGGAAGTATTTGTCAAGTGTAGAAACTGGAAGACATATCAACATCACAATAACTATCATGTCAAACATTGTGTCAGCTAGGTGTCACATATCACTCCTGTCGCGTGCCTAATGTAAGGATTCCTCCTTCAGAACCAACAGCACTCAGAGATAATTATGTTGAGTCGTTTGGCTCGTATTGGTCTAAGGGATTCCCCGTGGCCAATATACGATCAACTTATCTCTGGAGTAGGGCAACTCAAGTATTGGCACTACAAAATATATCAGTATATAAATACAATATTTCTAGGCACACTTGGCTGGACACCCCCACTACTTACTAAAGAAAGCCCCCAGGTTATGATAGTTCATTATCATAACCATGTTAACACATATAATGAAGATACATACACAAACAACTGCTAAACACTTAAGAAGGTGACATAGAGAAACCTAAGTCAGCCATGAAAATGAATGCATGTATTTAGTATACTATCTGTACAAAAACAATTGAAGTGAATTCCAGCTATCAGTGAAAGAATCTCAGCAATAATGTCTAGATTCTAAGGAAGCTATGCAGACAGCCGGTCCTGGAGGTGACTATATGTCATCATTGGACACAAGGAGCTGTGAGGAACACAACATCAGGCGAAGCATCAGACTTATCTTATGTCCTTTCTGTCTATGATGCCTCCTTCAGCTCCGGATGATTCGACTGTCTTTGATTCTGGAAATTCTGCTCCGCTGGATCAAATAGTCAGAGAGTACCTCACCATGGAGGGCACAGCACTGTACTGGTACTTAGCAAGTCTCTATCACCAGTAAGGACACACAATGTCTTTGAGCCACACTAAGCTCTAGCACTGGTAGCTGTTTGAGGTACCATCTCCCACATGTTGGAGATGTCAGGAACCTTCACAGGTGTTAGCTGGTGGGTAACAGTTTGTTTCTGGTGGTTTGATGGTTGGTGGATGTTGGTTGGACTGTGAATCTTCTGCCAGCTCTTCACAAAAGATACATCCCAAGCATATGTAAAAACTGAGACATTCCAGATTGCCTTGAAAAGTGAAATTTATACAGGCACAGATTAACACATCTGGACGCTTGAGAAGCTGGCAAGGAGAATAGCGTCACTTAGACACTTCAGGCGTTGGTAACAAAAGAAGTCCCTTGTATACTTGGGCAAGGAGTAAATCGGTTTCCAAGAAACCTCAAATAACTCCCTGAATATATATCGAAGAGATATACATTTAAAAGTGGAGTTTAGTTAAAGTAACCAGAAAAGGCAGACATAATAATGTTGTCCAATAAAGGCCTATATATATAGATATAGGGGACTATATATTTCCGGGCGAGTCCAAGTTTGAATTTTGTGCAGATTACAGGTAAGACAGGTTATCAGCCTTACAGACCGATGCGTAATGGCTATCATTTCACGACACTAGGAAGTATTTGTCAAGTGTAGAAACTGGAAGACATATCAACATCACAATAACTATCATGTCAAACATTGTGTCAGCTAGGAAGCATTTGTCAAGTGTAGAAACTGGAAGATATAACCACATCACAATAACTATCATGTCAAACATTGTGTCAGCTAGGAAGTATTTGTCAAGTGTAGAAACTGGAAGATATAACCACATCACAATAACTATCATGTCAAACATTGTGTCAGCTAGGAAGTATTTGTCAAGTGTAAAAACTGGAAGATATAACCACATCACAATAACTATCATGTCAAACATTGTGTCAGCTAGGAAGTATTTGTCAAGTGTAAAAACTGGAAAACATAACATCATCACAATAGCTGGGGTTTTATACATGACATGACAAACATTTCTCCAGCTAGGAAGCATTTGCATTCACTTCACATCATCTGCCATAAACTAGTTTATTTATCAATCTTTGTCACACACACCAGATGAGGGTCAAATTCTTTTATCATGTCCCCAACATTATGATAATTATCCTTTATTCATTTTAATTAATTGGATAAAAATTCATAAATGTATCTAGAAGGAAACAAACTGAATCATGTAGCCACAGTCTCAAAACTGTATGTGCTAAACATATTATAATAAATATTTTGACCTCTGTTAATTCTTTCAGTCTCAAGCAATGCCCAGTCTGTGAATATGACTCTACCTCTTGATTCCCTCCATTGCTTTTTTATATTTGGTCAGAACAAACATTAAAAAAAAAAAAATTAATCTGGCCTCCAAAAATGGTCACTATCACTGTCACCAGGTTGAGTGTGCTCACGGATGAGGGCCCTTATCTTTTGTTCACTCGTTGGCAGCTATGCAGATGATATTTTATGTCAGCAGCAACACAAAGTACACCTTTAGCTGGGCAATTTTAATTCTAATGACCATGTCTGGCAGGCCAAGGATGTATCACATGGCATAACATGAGGTTCTCTTGTTCACCTGAGGATCAGTCTCATGGCATCATTTTGTTCTTTTGCTAGTTTTTCCATCTTATGTCTGCCAACTGTGAGGAGGCTAAGCCTATAGACAATCACTGAAAGCACCAAACTGATAAAGGACTGAACTACCATCATTAATAATAAATGTTTTATTTTGGTTAATAAAGGGGTTTGCAGTGGCCGAGTGGCTAGACGCTCGCCACGGATCGGAAGGTCATGGGTTGGCTCCCTGGTGGAGCCGGACTATTTTCAAAAATGACCTTGGCTCCCAGTTCGACCCAGCCTTGAGTGGGTACCGGGTGCAGTCCCGGGAAGTAGAGGCAGCCGGCGTGAGGCTGACCACATCACCCATCTTGTGCCGATTGGTCTATAAAAATATAGATCTAGCCCTATATGCCCTATACGCCTAAAGGCGTGGAAAAGGGTCCTTTACTTTTTAAAAAACTTTTTTATGGTTAATAAATAATTAAGTTAATCTTCATATGTTTTTATATGATGTCAACAACCGGACTTACCACATAATAACAAAAGCTACGAGCATGATGCCAGCTCCTACCAGGAATACAAAACCAGTGAAGTAACCCAGAGTTGCTTTGTAAATATACAGAAAAATCGGGACTCCTGCCGCATAGGCAATACTTTCTATCACAGCCACACTGGCAAAAAGAGGCCCTGTTAAGAAATTAGAAAACACAGCATTTTAATATAACTATGTTGAAACATATGACATTTGGCTAACAAAAGTGATAGCTACAAGAGCACACATTTTTGACAAGGGACACAATTTGAAGACCATTTACAAATAAATGCTAATGAAAGATATATTGGATGAAATAACGTTTGTAAGGATATGTGAATTCGGAATTAAGTGTGGATGAATGAGTGGAAAACTGTTCACTCCAGGGATTTAAAAAAGCCCACATGATTTGTAGTAACAGTAATTTTTCAAAAATACCCTTTCAACCCTCAGGGTTATAATTGAGATGTATAGTGTTATTTGTATTACTCAAATGTATATTCATCATTAAAAAAAACACACACACAATTAGAGCCAATTTTTTGTTTGTGTTAGCACTTCGGATGGCTACCATATGCTTTAATGCGAGTGTTGCTAGATATGCTGAGACAGCAGTCTGTCAATCTTTCCACAAGGGACTGTGATAAACATTCTGAGTGTTTTTTCGTTGGCACAGGAGCGGAGCAAAGATGGGGCGACCCGTTTGCTATGAAGCTGAAACTAAGACTACCAGACTACCAGACTACCAGAGCCAATTTGAACATTTCATTTTTATATTTGAAATTAGCATGTCAAAATCAATCAGAAATGATGTTTTTAAATTCTGGTACAAAAAAAAACAGTGTTATTAAACAAAATATACATGTTTGATTTCCATGGCTGATGGTTAAAAAAACAACAACCATTCTCGTGGCTTTTGGAGAGTGGTATGAGAGTTGCACTGAGGAAGAGATTGGGACCACACTATGTGATATTTCTCAAGACAGCAATGGATGCTCAGATCCAGGAATCCTTCACTGTGGCGAGGGCAGAAAGTTTATTTATTTCCTAATTCATTAAACAGCAAGCACAATTCTCTTTGACTTTCTCTGGTATTCCCATGAAGGTTCCAAGGTCCCATTTGAGGTGGGGGGGGGGGGGGGGAGAGGAGAATATACTCTTACTTACTTACTGACTTAGTCGCTTCTTTTCTACCTTGGGTTGTAGAGGTTTGCCGGAGAGATCGCCAGCCTTCTCTATCAGCAGTTTTCTTTCTTGGCTTTGTTCTATTCCAATCCTCTGCCCATCAGGGACTGTCGGATGCTGTCTTCCCAGTATATCCTGAGTCACCTTGGTGGTCTGGTTCCCTTGTTCTTAGCCTCCCATGCCTGCCATGGTGGCCGATTTTCTCCCATTGTGCATACATGTCCAATTCATAGTAACTGTGACTGATCCACTCGAGTTTGTAAGGCCTGGTTTTCAAGATCTTGACGTATTGTCTAGTTGCAAACTTTGTTCCTTCTTATCACTTGGACCACTTTTCTCAGATATCTAATTTCTGAGGTCTGAAGCTGGCTTCTGTGGCCTGTTGTCTTGGCCCATGATTCACACCCGTAGGTCAGGACTGGTACATAGGTAGAGCAGTAAACAGCCATTTTCGTTTTCTTGCCAATTTCTCTTTCGCTGAGAAGCCCTCAGTTTATGGATTGGAAAAGTCTCCCAGCTGCTGCTTTTCAAAAAAATCTCTCAGCTGCTGCTTTTCGAGTAGCCAGCTTTGTCTTATGACCCCATTTTGGTCTATTACAGCTCCAAGATATTTGAACTGGTTAACTTGCTCCAATGCATGTCACAACATGATCTGGTGTTTCTTCTCCTCTCTTGAGATCACCATTGTTTTAGTTTTGGAGATACTGATGGTCATCCCTCTCTTCTCAAGCTCTTCCTTCCAAACAAGTAGGTTGGATTGAATATGTGTACTTTCTGCCTCTTAACAAGCCTGCTGTAAGAGGTAACAAATGAGGATTTAATTTAAACTGGATAACACAACCTAATCCTTGACCCATTAGGGTCGTGGAGGTGTACCGATGGAGGCATAGTGCACAAAACCCATCATCTTTCTCTGACTTCTGCCTGATAAAAAAGTGTATGATAACTTGGTCCTGTCCATTTCTTGATGTTGTAATTCCAGGTTCCTCTTTGCCCTACTCTCCTTTGACTACCACCCCCACCCCTATCCCCCACAGTGTTCCTTGAAGTACAGTTTTTTTGCAACTGAATCATGTCTTACCACGTGCCCAAACCAAGCTAGCTTGCAACATTTCACCACTGCCAAGACAGGCTCCTGATGTCGTCCTGCAAATTTGTATATTCTGTCTCTGACATATTTAAACAATACGGACACAAACAATACATTGCAATTTATTTTGCTGTATCTTGTCAGGTGCGTTACATCAATATAAAATGAAGCACAACTGAATAAATCCAACTGAAATGCAAATTTCACATTTCAGTTGAATAATTCATCGAGTCACTTCACTGTAGGTGACGGTAGATGACGATCGAGATATTCAAAACAATGTTTTCCAATAATGAATTTAAATAATGCAGACACAAACAATACATTGCAATTTATTTGTAATGAGTGCTAGGATGTCAGTACTTAATTTATATCTGCAGGGTCTTGTTTCAAGCAGTTGTTTTTTATTTAAAAAACAGAATTCTCAGATTCCTCTCATTGACTGTAGACTACAAATAAGGCAAGATGTGTCTGTAAACCTCTTAGGCTTTTTTAAACCTTAATTTAATATGCTGATAGGAAATTTGCATTTTATTTCTGTTCCCTTCTAGCTTTATTTTCTACAGTGCAAAGATTTCTTTAGTTTTGAAGCTGGTGACCTTCTAAAGGTATTTTTCTTTTATAAATACTTCTACACTTAAACAGTTTGTTTTCTTTACAAACTACTTTGTATTGCTTGTCAGTTCTATTTCAACTTCCGGTGGTGCAGTTATGTGTGTGCATGTGTGTCTGTACTGTCTACTTCTTTGTGTACTTATCATTTTATACTTGACGTAGTTTACTCACTTTAATCTTACCTTGGTAATCTGATCCAAGGAGCCTTGAACTCTCACCTCTAATAATGCTGAATGGAAAGTTCTGCGCAAGACCAAGAAAAGGAAGTGAAATGTAAGAAAAACATTGTACCGACATTGATCTGCTGAACATGAACTAGTCTTGAGTTTAAAGATAAATCTTACAATTATACAACTTGAAAGTGAAATGAAAAACAGTTAAAATACTCAAAAGACCACCCCCCATTCCACATACAATTCATTTAGTTTTAAGAAGTATCTTTTCCCTGTGTGGGTTTCTCGGGCCCCATTATGGTGTAAAAATTAATAGACTGTAGCGTGGCGATTCAGGTCACAGGTGTGAGGGAAGTTAAGGTCTTTGTGATGTGTATAAGTAGTTACTCAGTCCCTCACCTCAGGCGCCAACCAGCTCTGTCCTGGTTTTACAGATCCTCATGCAAGACTGTTGTGCTAAATGTCCAAATGAAACAACATTAAAGGTGTCTTGCATGCTGAAGAAAAATGTACCTATTCATGTGGTCATCAAAGTCCTGGACTTGCGGGCTGCTCCTTCCTGATCTCCGGAGGGCGCAGCACAACGACGAGTGGGAAAATTTTAGTTGAAAAAAAAAAAAAAAACGCAGCAACCAAGAAAAGTTTAGGAAAGTAAGAGATTTAAAAAAAAAAAAAAAAAAACCACTGGTATCTTCAAAAATTTTGCACCGCCCCTGTCAAGAGGTCGCAGCTCCCTGGGGCACGGAAGTGCACAGTTTGGGAATCACTGCCATATACTTCTATGGACATTGCGCCGGCCATCCCTGGCAAATGTTAAAACAAGAACATTGCAACAATTAAATATACATGAAATCCCACCATTCTGGCCACTAACAGTACTATCTGGCACGAGGTTATCATTAAGAATTGAGGAAAATAAGCTAATGCTGGATTGGACACTTAATTTAAAAAAAAAATGGTCATATAATAATTAAAATGTCCTTTCTTTGAAACCCACAAAGCAAAGGGGAATACCTAAAACATATAAAGAAGAGAACTGGAGACAGATGTGAATAATATAAGGTGAGCATATGGTGCTGCAAGAAATGGCAAGTTAAAAGAGGAGAAGGAGGAGGAGGAGGAGAAGAAAAAAGATAAAGAAGAAGAGTGAAGAAGAGAAAGTGGCTCAAAACATTATTTTATATGTTATTTAACTTTGTTAAAAAAAGAAAACTTGTTCTGCGTCTATCAGTAGCTCCTTTCATGATCAAAACATATGAAACTGTATTTCTACCACTTCAATCTTTTATATTTCATTGTCCGATATATTTCATGTTTTTTTTTCTGATTATACTGTCCAAACTTTGATCCCAATGGTTTTCTTATTTTTTATTTTTAATGCTTTGCATTTTTTGTTTGCATATTTTTTTTTTGCGTACTCAAGTAAAGATGCGATAAAATTTAAAGAAAAAAACTAGCTGCTAAATATAGTTATAAAATATGAACTTACCTAAATACAATATTTCCCAGTCAAACTTAGCAAAGGAATACAGCATACAGTATGCTACCATAGACATTGCTCCGGCGATCACTAGGACCATCCCTGGCAAATGTCGAAACAAGAATATAACAGCCAGCAATGTAAATGTATTTTGAATAAGGTCTCTGGCGAACAGGAACCACCCAAGAGTGATAGCATCAAAACAGAAAGGCAGGTTCATTAGATACAGATTCTGCACCTAGAGACAAAAATAAAAAAGGGTGTAATTAGTCAAAGGAAAACTCTAAAATGTGCTTTAAATCTTCTGGTACCAGCTTGTGGTTACTTTAACTCTCTCATCCCAGAAAGTTCTAGTTTAGCTCTTTTATGCCTAAGTAAAGCTTTGTGTGTTGAATGAGAAGTTCCAATGTGCCTAACCAACACAGCCTGTGTCAACTGTGTGTCCCGCATATATTGATTTGCATATTGCTCGGTACTATTTTTTAATGCCTGAAACTATATTAAAAATATTCAGGAAAGAATACTCTAATCTTTTTACTTTTGTCAAGTCTTTGTTTACACATTTAGGTGCAAAATTATCAAATTCATTGCGAGTGTCACCGTCTTTGCTTCCCCAGGACATATATCTCTGTACTCATTTTAGGCTGGGTCGACCTGCATCGACCCATACCATAATAAAAATCAGCCAGCAGTGGGTTTCGATATAGTACTAGTCAGACTCACAACTCAAAGCACAAGTACAGGCCACAAAATGCACCTTTTTGTGGCTGAAACTCTGAAACTGTTTCAATCAGATGCTTTTAATTCTGATTTCTCATAATGGTGACAACAAATTATTTAGAAAGTGATGCACACAGTGAGTTTACACACCTCAGCTGAGTGGTCAACTGTTAGAGAATATAGCAGTTCTAATGAATATGAGACACAGAATGTTCCACTGCTGAGTGATAAACTGACAAGAAACTTATCATAGCCTATCAGTTTGTTGGCAAACTGAACAAACTGTAAAGTTTTATTCTCAAATTTGGAGATTCACTACTCTTGTGGCTGCAATTATTTTGCAAAATTTTGTCTTTGTAAACATAACACATGCCAAATTTTTTTCTCTCCAACTAACTATAACAGCATTAAATAATGACATATAAATGAAATTCAAAATGTACATTCATTCCTGTTAAAAAATGTATACTTGCATAGGGATTATAAAAGTTACACAACTAGAAATATATGACATTCTCTTTTGTCTATATTTTATACTACATCCTCTGCCATTTTTGTAAAGGGAAATTATTGCGAGCCAAGTCTGTCAAAATTCATCAGCCTGAATGAGTTGAAGAAACCATGCTGAAGTTTGAAAATAACACTATGGGGCAAACTTAATAAAAGCCCATTTCGAGTTCACGCAACAAATGTCTACAATAGAAAGATTTAGAAATGTATACTGCCTTTGGACTAACCAATGAAATGTGTGATAGGTTGCACAGTACTGAAAGAGTTAAAGAAAATATATAAAAGTTAAGAGCAGTTTAGGTTAGTATCACACACTGTATATCATTCTTTCATTGATTATTAAAATTTTTTTTTTAAACACATTTCAGCATCATTTACTTTTTTGTATTGTGTTTTGTTTCTTGATGTTTGCTGATGAAGACTTGATGCTGCAAAATCCTCTGTTTGTTTATTGTGATGTATTCCGTAAAACTGATTTCTTCCAGTTTTGTAAAGTAAATATTAATGTTAATAACAAGAGAATAATATTTCAAATCATCATCATCATCAGGTTCCTTGCCGACTGGCATGGGCCATCATGCCTCTCCATAATCCACAATCTCCTGCAGCATGTATCAGTTCGTGTGCCGACACACCTCCATGTCATGCAACAAGACTGTCACGAATCTTCTCTCATTGTCTTCCTCTATCCTTCCTTCCATAGATCTTTCCAGTGGTCACAACATGTTCTATTTTCCCTCTTCTTATAACATGGCCGAAAAATGATGACTGTCTCCTTCTGATGTCTGTGATAAGTTGACTTCTGGCTCCGCCTCTTTCAAAACCTCTTGGTTGCTCTTTTATTTCAAATAATATCAATATAAATTAATAAATTACTAAAAAAAAGTATTCATAAGATAAATAAAACAACAAAAGTACTCAATGGACACCACATTTCCAACCCCGAGAACATTATTTATATCAAAACTACTATTACTAAGCCAAGAATATACAGCATCCCATGAGGCCTAGAAAATTGGCAAAATTTATTAAAGGTTAATGGTTAGAGAATATCCAGCATCAATTTTCATATGAAATTTATTTTAAAAAAAAGCAAGAGCAAAACAAATTATTAGTCACAGAAAATCAGTAAAATACACTTTGTAGTAAACATAACAATTAAAAGCTAGAAAATATAAAACATCTAATTAGATGAAATTTGTAAAATATTCTTTACAGTAAATATACAAATTAAGAGCTAGAGAATACAGAACAATTAACTGGTTAAAAAAAATCTTTAAAATGCTCTTTACAGTAAATCTAAAACCTGAGGGTTAAGCAAATGAAACAAATTATAATACATGCATTAATTGTACATTTAACGAAGTAAAAGCAAAGGACTTTTCATGTTACTGGTGCATTACCCATATGGAGATCGACCCATATTTTCTACAGACCAATCAGCACTCAACAAGTGATGTGTCAACACAATGGTGGCCAACTTTACTACCAAGGACATTTCCTGGTCCTCATTTTAGATTGACTCAACCTATGAGTGCAGGTCAGTTATACAATTTACTCGATTTTGATTCAAAGCAAATGCCTTCAAGCCAGCAGGCATATATTTAGCAGCCGCACTGTCACAACAAATTGTATATTGAACAGAAGTAAAAATAGGTGTGACTGCAGTTGAGCTGGTACAGATACATTTACTGAATACATTCTATGACTAGAAGGGTCAAAGTGTGGTGGGGAGCAGAACACACACAAAGACACAAACAAATGTTTCAGCCAATCCTTCAGTACAACAAGAAAAACATAATTCCAAGACCCAAGCCCCGACATGGCTGTCACATGAATAATTACAGTAGAAACTATTTTTTAAAATATTCCGTTACAGTTGTTGATAGGATTCCCGTGTGCTAGGGCTGGTGTGTAGGATTTCTTTTTATCGGCTTATGCTCATCATCATCATAAAGCAGGTCCTTTGAAGAATATCGCTCTCATCACATCTGCCTGAAAGAAACTTGGTCTCTCGCCAGCTCTCCTGCCTCGTGTACTTTCATATTCAAGGTCACTTATATCCTGTGATCATCTTCAGCCTTTGCCTCTCCTTCCTGGTATCATGCCTTCTGCTATTAAATTTTTCCACCCAGCCATGACGCTTGATACGACCAACATATTTCAGCTTCCGAGACAAGATGCTGTTTATTAGCCAATCTTCAGTGATATTAAGATCTTTTAAATTTTCAGTGTTTCTTCTCTTCTTTGTCCATGGTATTCAGAGAATCTTTCTATAGCATTTCAATTCAAAAGCTCCTATTTTCTTTCTTAAGGACTGGGAGATAGTCTACGACCCATATCTGTATGTTATCTTACTTGTAGATAAAAACGTTTGTTTCTATGTGTTTTTTTCCCTCCCTCAAGTCATAGTTTGTGTTCAGTTACTTAATTTCCATTTAACAGCTTGTGAAAAAATGTATGACTCCAAATTGAAGAATTCATGATTAAATTTCAACACACTGCGATCAAAACCCATTGCTGGCTTTTTATCATGGAATGGTGCGTCCCAGATCAACCCAGCCCAAAATGGGTACCAGGATGTATAGAAGAGTCTCTTCTCCTAAGGAAACTAAAAGGAAGAGGAAACTGGACAATAAACAAGCATTAGAAAGTTCTTTGCGCTGGAGATGTGAATTTACAGAAGAACAGGTTGTATTTTATAGAAGCAAAAATAATAAAAGTTTTGCAAAGACTAGGAAAGAAAAAAAAAGGTTGTTGGAAGAAATCAAAGTAGAGGCAAGTAAAATATTTTGTCCACATCAACTCTTTCAGTCCTGGACAAAGACACTTTCAACACTTTCCATCACAGTCTTTGTACTGAAGAGTGTCCCCTTGTTTGCAAAATAATACAGCAATGGGAAAGAATAAGTTGAAACAAAAAGGATAAAGTAAAAATCAATGATGGAAGACCAGGATAGAAGATGATAAGAAATCTATATGGTGGAAATTAATAAATGTATAGTGAGTTAGCTGGTAATGAAAGATGGCAACATGGGAGGCTGCTGCAAAGGACCTGTCTGGATGTCGTAGATCCCTCCAACATGGTGCATCAGCCTGCCAGGCAGCTGAGGTTGCATACGCAGAGAAATGGAGGCAAACAAGAAAGAACCGTATTGCTAATCCCACACTTATTGCGGTTTCCACATATTATACGCACAGCTAAAGAACTTTCCAGGCTCATATTGGACTAATCAGGCAACTTCATACTCATAGTCACTGATCATTACTACTTTGGATGAAAGGTGGTCTTCATCACTCGTGATGGACAGACAACAACAGAACTGAAAGAACTAAAGATATAACAGTCCTGACTTGAATTAAGAACCAACATCACAGGACTTGAAAAAGTCCACCAATCCTCTTTCTTTAGCAGACGGGGCAGAGTTCTAGTTTTGATGGCAGTCGCAGCAGTTTGATTATATTCTGTATTCCCTTGGGAGTCGCTGTGGCCGAGCGGCTAGACGCTTGCTGCGGATCGGAAGGTCATGGGTTCGCTTCCTGGCGGAGCTGGACTTTTTTCAAAAATGACCTTGGCTCCCAGGTCGACTCAGCCTTGAGTGGGTACCGGGTGCAGTCCTGGGAAAGTAAAGGCGGCCGGCGTGATGCTGACCACATCACCCATCGTGTGCCGATTGGTCTATAAAAATATAAGTCTAGCCCTATTTACGCCTAAAGGCGTGGAAAAGGGTCCTTTACTTTTTTACTGTATCCCCTTTCTTGTAACTGTTGAGTGTTGACCTGATCCCCTAATCACTCCCAGGTGCACCATTCTTTGCAGTTCACAACGGTCTTTTGATGGTAAGGCTTCGTTCACAGGCAGCCAAAGGACCTTGACCTTGGGAAAAGAGTACGCAGGCAGACTGGCTTTTTCTGCACCATTTGGAAGTGAATTGTTGCACAACCTACAATCTAATTTTTATTTTTTTTATTTAAGCATCTAGAAACCATGAGTTGTTAACCCTTTGGTTCAGTACTATGATACTTCGGTCTTGATTCCATGACAGATACCGTAAATCTGGGAGGAAATTGGCTTTTCTGCCCACCCCAGGGTGTGAACCCGGACTATAAGGAGTTCGTCACATGGTCACCGCGCAGTCCAGTTTAGCCAACTACTCTAGCAAGCCGGGCCTACAATCTTATAAAAGTCATTTTTGAAGGAGGGCAATAAACAAGAATCAGACAGCGATACAAGTTGGAAATTAACATCAACAGAAAAATTAGCAGTAGTTTGAGACAGTGTTCAGCAGATGGAGATCAGTTAAAGCTAATCTTTTTGTGCAGACGGCACCTGATATTAATGAAAAATAAGAACAAAATGAGATATTACCTTATCTAATCCCACACGAACTATGATTGCCAAGAAGAAAGCTGCAGCTGCCAAACATATCATGTATCTAACTCTTTTGATCTTTGGCTTATGAAAAGGAGCAAACATATGGAGAAGGGCCCCCTTTAGCGACTTTATTTCACGGAGTTTTGTCTCAGAAAGTACTGGTTTTTGGTCCGGTAACACACAAACCAGCAGCACCCTGAAAGATAATAAAAAATTATTAGACTTACTGGTAAAGTTTCCCTTTCGCACCGTAAATGCGGCATTAGTAATCAGGTCTGTCTACTACATTCCATCTTGTGTACTGTCAGTCACTTGTGATGCTCACTGATGTTTATGGCATGATGCCAGGTTGTCCAGCATCTTCTTTCTTAGCCTCCATTCGTTTCTCTTTCACTTCAACTTTATCCCTGGCATGATATACACCAGCTTCTCTGGTTGACGAGGTATTCAAAGAATGTGTCAGCAATGTCTACATTTTTCCAAAATTCCAATTGTGTCTTCAAGTTTCCTTTTATCAAACGTTTTAGTGTAACTAATGAAGCATAAATACAGATCTCTGTTCATGAACTGCCTTCACCCAAGTTTAACCTTTAACAAATGTATTATACTGAAATGAAATACTTTCTTTGTGGATGCATGGGATCCATTCTAGAAGAAAAAAGAATAGACCCACTTGCCCTAATAAGCCGCCATAAAAAGTGACTAACTAAGGGTTTGCAGGTGCAGATATTGCACACTAGTTTTAAACCACAACTACCAATCTACCTTTTAAGTGCAAATGCAGTAGAAGGAGAAGTAGGAGGAGGAGGAGAAGGAGGAGAAGAAGAAGAAGAAGAAGAAGAAGAAGAAGAAGAAGAAGAAGAAGAAGAAGAAGAAGAAGATTAGGAAGAAATAGAAACATAAGAGGAAGAAGAAGAAGAAGAAGAAGAAGAAGAAGAAGAAGAAGAAGACGAAGAAGAAGAAGAAGAAGAAGAAGAAGAAGAAGAAGAAGAAGAAGAAGAAGAAGGAGGAGGAGGAGGAGGAGGAAAAGAAGAAGAAAAAGAAGAAGCGGTAATGGGAATACAGGGCAAAGAGAAACATGAGACGACTTTTAAATCCATTAAGACAAACAGTCTAATATGGTAGTCATCTACAACCTTCCAATAACCGTTTTTTTCTAATAAGAGCTAATTTAATTTTAATGTTTTTGTCTTTAAGTTTTTCAAGTTGAGACTCAGGTTAACACTTTCTACTCCACCACTACATCTGCCAATCCCTGTAGTTCTTCCTTACTTGTCACTATCAAGATGGTGTCAACAGCATAACCTAGGATGTTTTTGCTATTAGTAAAACCCACAATTCCTGGCACATCCATGATGGATCTCATTATAAATTCACTGTAAAATTTAAAAAAATCAGTTGATGGTAGACATTGTTTGTTTTACACCCCTCTTTATGCTCTGAAACAGTTATTAATTCTTACAGATCTATTGCATAAATATTTTATTTTTCTAGTAGTCTAATTATTGCCTCATGTTTCAGTCAAATGATTTGAAGGTGGTATCATAAGGTATCAAAGATACACTGGATACTTAAACACTCACGCCAGAAACTGAATTCCTGCAGCAACACAGGCAGGAATAAAAAATCCAGTGTTTTCAATCAGCTGGCCAGTAACTACAAAAACTGCTGAACCAACAGCACCTTTGACAGACTCAACAATGGTGACACCTAGGGTTCTCTTTTGGTCACGAGGTGTGACATCAGAAGTGTATAGAAATGTGCCAAGTAATATTCCACAGGTCTGAAAAAAACATTACACTGGTTTAATCAGCAATCAATGTTTAAAAAAATAAAAAATACTGATTTTAACAAAATCCGGAACTCTGAATAATATTTAAAAAAAAAAAAAAACACGCACACGCACACACGCGCGCGCGCACACACACACACACACACGCACGCACGCACACACACACACGCACACAAAAAAGACAACAGATTGCACAATTTATTACCTGGTATATTCGCTGTATCACCTCAGATGCACACTACAGTAACTTCTTCTTCTTCTTCTCTACCACCTTGTACCTCAGCGAAGTGTCGGGGGAAGATGTAACATTCGTTGATGACCTTTGTCAAGAAAACTATTAAGACTGATGTTCATTTCTGTAAGGCTGTTCTTAATGCCATCACATCTTTTCTGAGATTTTCCGCTCGCTCTATACCTGTTGTAACGTTTTAGTGTGGCTCGCTGTGGCAGATAGTACCAGGGCATTCTTGTTGGGTGTCAAAAAACCACTTCATTTGTTGTTCTTTGATGACTTGTAAGACTGGCTTTATTCCTTGCATTCGTCTGATTTCATTTTATGTCTTTCCTTGAAACTCCTGCAGCTTTTCATCTCTGTTGTCACAATTTTATGTTCAATGGAGGATATAAGTGGTCCTGATAGCATAGTGTTGGCCAAAAAATAGTTCTGATAATATTCACTTTAGTACTCCGGGGTATGTGCTTGTGTGTCAACAGGGAAAATAGTTGCCCCATTACTTGATTAGCTTTGGCACATCTTGAGCTACTTGCTCTGTTCAGTTTTCCCATCGGATGTGAAAATGTCTCCCAAATACTTAATTTCCTCTGTTTGTCTTAAGGCGTTAAAGCATCATTTTAATCAATTGCTTAATTTTAGTCAATTGTTACTAAAGTATGCTCAGGACGAGATGCAGCAAAATATGTCAGGCAAAAAAAAATTGTGTGATCCACTGTTTGTATCTTCATTGTTCAAATTCACAGTGGGGAAACACTGTCAAATTTCTGAATTATATACTTTAAAAAATAAGTAATGTATTTTCAATTCTTTTTTTATTTACATTTTAACATACACCAGTGAAGGCTGGAGGGCCATTAAGACATGAAATAAAAGTCAAATGCATTCAAAAAACAAATGTCCGAGGAAAGGGATAAACATTAAATTTGATGAAATAAATAAAGGCCAAAGAGAAATGTTTGGACAACCATGTGTATCAGTTACAGGACAAAGAATATTCATCAGGCATATCCTGTGAAGGGGTGTATAGAGAATTACCAAACAGGCATTGAAATGGGAAACAAATGGATTGAGGATTGACCCAGAGGAAACCTGTGAAGAAGACTGATGAGAGAGGCTAAAGGTGCAGGACTGGATTCCATCCTTGATATGAAAAGGATTGACAAGGACAAGATTGAATACAGGAACAGACAGTAAGCCATATCTATATAAATAAAAATGTAAACTTTCCTCTCTTAGTGACAGCAAATCTCCTAAAGTTATTCACAGATTGCTTTCAAATTTTGATACAACATTGCATTCGAATACCCGCGTGTTTTTATATAAGTGTGTCGCACAAAAAGCATGAACCATAATAATACACAAAGCAGAGGAACTAGCCTTCCAGGTTAATGTAATCTAAAAAATGGGTACCAGAAAGAAAGATTACACAAAGTAAAGATGACCAGTGTGATACTGACCCTCACTAAGTGCAAACTGGCCTGTAAAGGGCAAACACAGATAAAAAAAAAGAAAATTAACTGCTTTATGAAATGTATAGTGTTTTTTATATATCTTACACTTAGCCTGAAAACACTAAAGAAATGTGGTTAGTTAATACACAGCACACAATATGCCTATCTGAAAGTAATACACTTATGCTTTTCACACTGTGTTAATGTCTTACTAGGGAAACTGCTATGCAACCTTCTGGTACTAAAGAACAAAAAATTTAGTATGTGTCCTTTACAGGACGTTGCAGAATCAACCCCAGCATTTTTGAGGCTGTTTGTGATTTGTGTCAGCACATCTATGGCTTAGGCATTGCGAACACGCTGCGTAATGCTGGGGTGCAGAGTTCGATCCCAGCTGTGGACGAACTGTCTTCAATGGTTTTGACAGTGGTACTAACAGCTGACCATTCAGGAAGCAATGGCAAACTACAGAACGTAAAATTTGCCTAGGAAAAAAAAACCACAAGAGCCAAAAAATGCTGTGGTTGGTTCTGCAACGTTCTGTAAAGGATACGCAACCAACTTTCTGTTTTTTTGTGTGTGATTTTAATTATGCAGTTTTTACATTCAGTAGTTTGTCACTGTTTTCTGAATGGTCAACTTTCGATACCACTGTTGAACCAACCAAAGGAGGTCTGCTGCCAAATCGTCTACAGCTGGGATAAAACCCGGTAACTCAGAGTTACAGAGGGAGTTTACAATGCTTAAGCCACAGACACCAACCTTCTGGCACTATGAGAGTTAAAAACCATTGAAATCTAAATTGGAAAATAATATCATAAACCTACATTTCCGCAAATCCCATCAATGCCATAGCCAAGGTAAAACCAGGTAATGTCAAGATCCCAGTATACAACAATTGGTACGAGAACTGATTTGACCAGAAATCCCATTGTTGGGATCAACAACAACAGCTTCCGGCTCATGATGCTGGAGAATGTGCCCAGTAGCAGGTTGGACAATATACCTATACAATATGTGGTCGTAGCTAAGTTCAAGGACATTCCCACAGCCTCTTCTTGCACTTTCTGTATCATGTCTGCCTGTGAGGTGGTGCTGAAGACTGTGCCACTTGTGTTGACAGGTATACCACCAGAAGTGTTGGCACATGGTTGGCTAGAGAGAAAAACCAATGTTAAAAGTGAATAAAAATGTGTAGTAAATTCTAGAGATATAGATCTTGAAATTTAAGTAGCTTAAAATATACTTGAACATTAATAAAAGAGAAAAATTATTAATAAAATTCTGGGTATCAATTGTATTCTTTTCTAGTCTAAGTTGTACCCCACCAGGACATCACACAAAGCGATAGACATCCGATGACATAAAATGCCACCATGCGGATTAGGATCACCCGTGGAGAGGTCCCAGAAACCCCTTTCAGCCGTTAGGCCATTTTTATGTCCCAGCTATATTCAGGGCCCCCAGCAAAAGCCAGGGTGGGGCTTCAAATAACAAAAAATCGCATCCCATCAGTATTCTAATAACCAATAATCACTTGCATTTCCTACAAATGAAAATAATTATATCAAACATTTTCCTTGCATAAGCGGTCAAGCAGTTTCTCTTCCATTCCATAGGCCAGGGCTTTTCAATTAAGTTTACTTGGGCCAAAAGTTGGAACTTATATTACACAGCAAAATAATAATATTTAAAACCAATCATTAAAAAAATTCTTAAATATTTTCATAGATAAAAAGCACAATGTGAATATAAAATTATGTGAAAACAATATTTTAAAATTTAAGACATAAATATTAATTTTCTTAGAGGACAAACTACATATTTCAGTTATAATCTAAAATGGTTGAAAATTTTTTTTGGGGGTATCATTACTGGAAGCAATTTAAACAAAAAGGGATTTAAAGAAGTGAAGAAATGATTTGAAACTGAAAGAACAGTTACCAGTTAAATTAAACAAGCTCTCAATGGATTTAAACAAAAAGAATTCTCCAGGCTTCAGAGATGTAGTTTTACGTAAGAATTCCATAGACAGCCAGAACAAGTAATTCATAGGGTTTTAAACAAGAGGGCCTGTAGACAATTTATCACAAACATCAGAAAGAGACAGTCATCATTTTTAGGTCACATTATAAGAAGAGGGAACTGGCACATATTATCGCCACTGGACAGATTTTTGGAAAGAGAGATACAAGAAGACACAGCGAGAAAATATTTGATGACCTTTTGTCATGGCATGGAAGGGTATCAGGAAGTTTCAAGGAAGTGCGAAGCAAACTGAGTGCATTTGTACTTATAATAATCAGGATTTGCAGCTTCAACAGGCATGAAAACAAGATAGCCTTGTGAGCTCGTTGTGGAGAGTGATCTCCTTTGTCCAACCTCAGATAAAAAATAACAGATATCATTAGGATAAAACAGTCTTGCCATATGCTCAAAGGGGTGGCGGCATAAGCTGTCTCGCCATATACTTGGGGGGTGCACCACCCCAAACAGGGTGGAGACCACTGCTTTACAGCCTTTTGTCATGGCATGAAGGAGGCGTTAGGACATTGTAATGATACAAGCTGTTGAAGATCGCGATTGTGGCAAGGCATGATGGCTCACGCCAATCGACAAGGCACCTGATGATGACAAATAGATGCTTAGACTAGGACATATTTAAATGCCACTTGTTTGATGCAGAAAGAGTGAGCACAATGGGACTGGAGCACAGTGGGTAGGTGTACCAAGTGAACCTAGGGGATTGAACTGTCAACACAGTTTCATCTAACATTCTCAAATTACAGCCCTTAGCATTCCTGGGCCACAGTTAACTCTTCATTTCACTGGCTAGATATGACCGCGGCTGCTTCGAGAAACATCAGTTAAGTGATTTATGTATGTGCTGATGAAGGCTCTGTAGCTGCAATGTTTACTTTCCATTTGTGTTTGTTATATTGTAAAGCTCGCTAATCTACTTTTTGTTCAATTTATATCCTTCCAGTGTACCAAGTGGATGAGTTGCAAGAAGTTAAGAGAAGAATATCATCTCAGTTTAAATTAACAAATGCACAAGAGTTGTGACAGGGTTTTTGTTTTTCTTATAGATAAATAGGTGCCAGTACTCAAGACAACCTTGGCTCCCAGGTCTAGCCAAACTTAAATAGGCACCAAATAAAAGTCCTGGGAAGTAAAGGCAGCCGGTGTGATGATGACCACATCATCCATTGAGTGCCAATTGGTCTATAAATATGTCTAGCCCTATGTGCTTGCAAGCATGGAAAAGGGTCCTTTACTTTACTTACTTATCATAAAGAGCACAAAAAGGTGTCGGTACTCACCACAAAGTGTCTTTTACAGTAGCAGTGAAAAAAAAATAATGCCTTTAAAGGGTGAGGGCTCTCCAGAAAAATAGCCTTGGCTGTTGATACTGAGGGAGTCAAAGAAACAAAACAGCAGAAAAGAAGAAGAAAGTTTTAGGAACAAACATTTAAAAGGCCTTATACATTTTAAATAAAAAGCATTATTTGCATAAAAAGATTAAACACTGGAATCATTACCTACTGGTATCAATGCTTGTGTTGCCAAAAACAATTCCTGCAAAATGCTGATATAGATACTGGTCCATGATCAGTGAGTTGAGGCAACCAGAGGAGACAGACAGCACCACCATCAGAGTGACTAGGGCCAGCGGACGCTGACTAATTATGACCTCTACACTTGGGATGGATCCATCTTTGTTAATAGATAAGCTTGGGGTGGTTTCATCTCCTAAATCATGTCCAGAGGTAGGAGGAGTGTTGTGAGTGGAGTTGTAGTTTTCATAGATTCTTGTTGTTGAACTGCTCAGAAGACCAGTGTTCTCAGCATTTATACTTGGCAGGTATCCAGTTGGAGGTGTGTGTTGTGTGCCGTCAGAGTTGTCCATTTTTGTGTGAATATCCTGGGTTGCTAAGTGGTTTCTTTCTATGGTTTTACTTGAATTTTCATTGTCTGCACACACACACTGTTGGCAGACATCACTACAGATCAAATTACCCTACCATACAGCAGGCAAGTAATGCATCAATGCAAATGGGAAGAATCAGGCCAGAGCTGATATCATCAACACTATGCGGACTTGGCTGAAGAATAACAATGAATTGCTAATGCTAACACAGCTGTGTGTCCTGAGAGTAAAGCTTGGTGAAGCATATCTATACTGTCTTTTAGGTCAATACTAGGGAGACTATAACCAACTTTTTATAGGAACAGTAAGTACGGGTACCTTGGAGTGGCTGCTGCATCGGAGGACTAAGCACGTATGAGAATTTCCAGTAGTCAGTGACGTCGGTTGTGATAACATAACATAATATAACCCTACCCTAAGCGAGTTTCTAGCTATTACAACTGTGATCACAACAGAATCCTGCAAAATAGCACTTTCCTTAATTACCACAAACGTGTGTTTACAAAATTATCTAGCATATCTGTCGCAGGTTTTATTTTTAATAAACGTAGGAAAAGTGTATGAGAAGCGTGTTATATAAGGCACAGAAATGGCAATTGTTGGAGAACTCCCGATGCCAACGAAATACTGAAATAGCATGAGGAATAAATTAACAATAGCACTGATAGATCCTCATAGAAGCAAGGGGCAGAAATAGAGGTTAGAAGATATATATATGCTTCTTATACTTTTTTAAGCCAATATACAAGAACTGGCAAATTTAACTGTACCGTTGATTATTAAACACAATGATAAGCGAAATCGTTACGATAATATAACAGAGGAGTAATAATATACCGACAACAATGTTACATTAGAATAGAATCAGCCGTTATAACTTATTATCCCCTGAATTTACACGTGAGAACAAACTGTTTTGTTATTGTAGACTAGAACAACACACCCCTCTCATTAACCAGGTCATGACTAATCGTAAAGCTTGTGGAACATTTGTTGCGTGGCCGTAACCTGGCGAATTACAGATACAACACAGGGCAAGTTAGCTCATAGTTGTCACTGTTTTGTGACACACTTGCTACACTGCGCGACAAAAACACGGCCGTCTGTCTGGTGGCAGAGCCGACGCTGTGTAATGAATCCATAAATACGGAAATAAATGGACCAGTACTGTGATCAACTATTGAATTGGAACAGCACTTATAAGTTACAGTTCAGGAAAACTGTAGAAAACGAATTATGAGGAAACGCTAAATAAGGTGGGCAGCTTAGAAAGTTGGGCGAATATTTCTTGTCCTATCATCATCGTGTGCTATGCCGACCTGTTTGGCAATCGTAGTTCGTTGTCTTACTGTAGTCGACAGAATCGCAGATCAAGTCTGTGTTTTGGTCCCGACTATCATTCTATGCGACTGTCTACCAGATGTTTATCTCATTTTTTGCCCTTAAGCTGGAACTGAGTTTAGAGTCGCCTTTCTCTTTCTCTAGTTTTCCATACTACTTTAATTTTTTTTTCTTCTTCTTCTGCGTTCGACATCATTTATACTAAACATTGAGTCCCGTCTAGGTCAAAAATAGGATTGTGCGTTTAAGGTCGCCACCGGTCCCCCATAGCTTCTCTCGCAATGTTGATCCCCTGGGCCCAGAGGTGCCATATTGGCATTTTTTTTAAATGCCAGATGCCACAAATCTGGCATATTTGAAATTGGACTGGCATAAGATAATGAACTGGCATATTCTGGCATATTTGGGTTTTTCCTGGCATTTCTTATCAAGATGTGCTCACATTTTCTTCATGGTTCCTTTATTATAAACACGCAAATGTACTAAAAACAACGTAGACCTACAGTTAAAATCTTTATTTCAGTTTGACCTTGTTGTGATGTCCTGGTACGGACTAACGGAGATTCGCGCCATTTCTTATTGTTTTGTTGTCTTCCTAAACGGATCGTGACTGCTATAAACCCCTGTAATTTATGTTAATTTATTAGAATAAATGCGAGATATAAAACGAAAATCCACCACTGATACCAAGTGATTCAGACTGTTCAGAAACTACTCGAGAACAGAAAATAGATAGGATATAGACCTAGTTCTATGTGTGATAGATTTTATTACATTCACCATTGTGCAGTACAGCACAAGTGATCATTTAAGTGAAATCATGAGAGCGCATGGTCAGGGAGTACAATAGAGCACATACAGTTGCACAGAACTAAACGTTTGTGCTTAATAAGAAATATTATTTCCCCTCCACTTAAGGATGACCTTATTGATGATTTTCGGAACAAGAAATATGTCATCATTATAGATGAGTCTACTGACGTTTCCATTCAAAAGCACTTGTGCATTAGTTAGTTTTTTTCAGTGACAGGAAAAATTAAATATTTACAGGATTTCTTGTTTTAAGTTCCTTGCAAGTGGCAACAGGAGAGAGAAAAAAAAACTTTTTTATAATCGCTAGGTTTTATTGCAATTGTAATGTGTTAGTTAAAAAAAATGTATTTCAGATTTTATATTGTTCCCTATGTGGGTTCCAGGGCCCTATTAGAAGAAAAACAAGAATAGGCTCAATACCTACCCAAAAGCATGTCGTAAGAGTCGACAAATTTAGAGCAGGACTACAGACCAGAAGTGGACAAACAACCAGAACGTTCCACCGTAGTTTACAGTTGGTGAGCGCGAAGAAGAAGATATTTCAGACTGTTATTTAACCGATTTTTTTTAACAGCGAGCCACAGGGTCAAAGACCCAACGACCACACGCGATATACTCAATGAAATGGATAAAACTGGTATTACTGATAATTCTGGTATGCGGATCTTTGACAAAGTTGTCTCTAAATGGGAGCTGTTTTGTGCAAAATCTGTGAGGTCCTCTGATTTTACTGATAACCGATATTTACACCCGACGAATAACATACAAGCGGTGAATGATTGCAGGAGAAAACTTAAAAACAGTGCAGTGTTATGAGATACTGTATCTTATCGTGAAGCGTAGGAAACAAATACCGAGGTACACGTAACTTTAATTTCCCCACACCGGCCCATATAAACACCAGGTCACTTCTGATTGGTAGTTCCTAAACATGTCACCTTGGCACAAGGTTACGGGGGTGTTCCGCGATGCCGTTGATATCGCGTGTTATATATTTCAGCACGCCAGTGTTTTTAGCGATCAATGCAGCAACTGGCTCTAACACACCCCACTAGAGAGTGCTGCAACCTATGCCACAGGCACTCTCTTTCTTGGAAGGAAAACGTAAATGCAAGACACAATAGAAAGCAAACAATAGAGCGGGACACACCTGAAATCTTCAGGAAAGTCGACGAGCCCAACAAACTTGGGTATGAAAAGTGACCTACTTTGTTTGGGGAGATTTACTTGAAGCTAACCAATACCGATATAGTTAGTTGCGTATTCTTTACAGGACGTTGCAAAACTAACCCCAGCATTTTTAAAAGGAACTTTACGTTCAATAGTTTGCCATTACCACTAAACAGGCAGCTCTCAGTACCACAGTCGAAACAAGCGCAAGACAAATCGTCCGCAGCAGGGATCGAACCTGTCACCCCGGCATTACGAAGCGCGTCTGCAACGCTTAAACCACAGACGTATACGTATCTGTATACATTAACTAAATATTTGTCATAAACTCGGGGGTATGGGGGGGGGGGGGTACCATAAGGACCCCTTAATGTAAACAGCATGTTAAATAAATCGAAATTTATTGCTTGATACACATAGATGTAGAAAAGCTGAGCTGAGTTAAGTACTGACATCACAGCACTCGGGACATTTCTATAAGCGCTGTCCCCATCTTCAGCAGCCAATGTATAGTTTTAGTTCCGATTTGCCCGCTTGTTCATTTCTTAACACACCTGAATGTATGGAGAAAATATCCAAAAGATGCCAACTACCCGTGATCTTTGAATCGATGTTTGCTACCATGCGTGGCGTCTAACTCTTTCCACATTTCTCAGCATACGTTGTGAATCTATTACAATCGCGACACGAGTGTGCTAATGATTCTCAAGCCAGCGGACGGTTGCCTCCATCTCTATTCTCAAACTAGATGTAGCATCATACGCCAGGCTTTGCTGCACTTAGGATTCTTCCTTCTATTTTGCTATAAACCATATACACTTCTCTTGCCTCCAAAAAAAAAAAAAAAAAAAAATTAGCCATATGTGTATACTCGAGTCCGTCGCCCCCAAATGAATTGAGTCTGGATATGGTAATTATAGCTTTTAATTTTTACGTTGCCTCAGTGTATCCACCTATACCTATTTATGTTATCTGCATTGATGATTGCCAACGAATACGTTTCAGTTTGTGTATTATCTTGTTTATATACTATTAGTTTCTCTGGCTTTTTATTTAATTTATTTAAAGTACGTCTGTGAGAACGTGGTGAAAACTGGCAGGACTGATGGTGAAAAAAAAAAAAGCTATTGGGGAATTGGTCAGGTGGTATCCAGTGTAGAAAATTTCCGGTATCTCCTCCCCCCACCCTCCCCCCACACACACATAAATATACATACACTCACAAATATATTTGTATATTAAAAACACATATTTTTGACTCTTTGTCACCCCCGCCCCCCCCCCCCTTCCAAGTAATGACACTGGGGGGCGGCCGCACGCTCCTTTCTACTCCAATGCCCCAAGTGCTTTAATTTTGGTTCTCACCTGTTTTCCCCCCCCCCCTTTTGTAAACATGCATTACGCAGTAGGCCAGTGGATTTACATTAGTAACAACACCCTAGAAACATTGTGGCTAGATACTGCATTGTCATCATCATCATCGTCATCATCATCATCATTCAGTATGTCATCATCATCATAAATCACTTCTGCTGTTAAGCGGCGTGGGGAGGAAATACTGCATGGCTTTCAGATAACCTGTACTTCTTATCGAACAGCATTCGATTACTGGTAATACGTCTTTCTTGTCAAAACCCGCTAAAAACACGCACACG